GAGACTAGAGTTCTATATATAAAGAGAAGCAACATTGATGTCCGAGTTTCTGATTGGCAGTCTGATATGTATTCTGATTGGATTCCCCTCTTAAGTAAAGCAGCCATATTGTGACCGCAGCTGATTACATAAAGCTGATACATGTGATTCTGTCCGAGTGTTCGTACTGGTCGGACGTGTTTTTCAGCACCTCGATTAATATTTTTCAAAAGTATGCCTTTCAACAAGCGACACAAATGACACAGAGAATCACTACAGCCTTGTTGTTCACATCGGAGTACTGAATTGGAGGTTAGAGTATGTTTATGTTTACGACACTGAAGCGGTCGGAACACGCCGACGTAGGGAGTGATAGTAGGGATCCGATCTGGTGGTGGGGGTTCAATGTCGCTTCTCTTTATATATAGGACTCTACTAGAGACCCTCTAATCAGAGTCGCGAAATAACGTTTCCAATTTTAATTGGTGCTGACATTTTTCAGCAAAAACCGGAAATAGTCATGGCGTCAAATTTAAATCGACCTACATTCGCTGCCCATTTTGCTCTTTTTTCAGGATTACGAGGAAAGACTTTCATAATATAACCCTTTTTTGCAGAATTGTTGCAGTCTGGCGCAGAACAAGCAATCATTTTAGAAAATATAATTTTATGAAATACAGTATTAATATAAAAAATATAATAATATAATTTCTTTCTGATAACTTAGCTGTATTTATGGCGAATTCGATTCGGATGCACCAGTGCTGGGTGATTGCACCAGTTCATCTTTTTTTCTTTTCCCTTCTCCTGGAGAGAAAAGGAAAACAGATGAACTCAGGTGCACTCAGTGCGCACTACTGTTAGCCTCTAGTTAGCAGTAGTCGGCCGGGCGGACGCATGTATTCGGTAATTTTTACCAATTATTATCTCGTTGACTATTGCGAAAATTGCAAACGGTAGAGGACTTTTCGACTCAGTTCAGTCCGCTCTACCTGTTCATGTAATATTTTCCGGTTAGTCCGGGACACCCTGTATATACATATGTATAGCAGAAATAAAACGTTAATTTTTTAAAACTTTTTTTGTTAATAACTTTTTAAGCGAAAGACGAGCGACGGCTAAAACCTGTTAAAAAAAACATGTTAAAAAGTTTTAATGGCCTTGAATGCGTATAGAGAAGGAGAAGAAGAAGAAGAAGAAGGAAACGTTTCTTAATTTTTCATTAAAATCATCGCTTGTATCTCCAGAACGGCTTGACCGATTAAAAATTTTGTTGGCTCAAATTACTCGTGGCGATGCCGCCTTTCAGGACATATAACGTTCGATTCAAAATTTTTTATATTTTAGTAGTTATGCACCCCCCAAAAATGGACTTTAGTGACTCGGGATGAGAGACTTGTAGTGTCTTTCAGTTTTTGAACATGGCCGGAGACACTACCGCGTCTCCTGATTAACAAATGTATAAGATTGTCAACAACTCGAGAAGTCGAGTATACTTGACAACTTGCACTTCGTAACGTGACAGATAGTGACAGATTATAGATCATGGCAAATTATAAGGAAGAAATACAGAATCGGACAATAAAGCTTTAAATCCATACGGTCAAATCCGATTGTCCTGTTTTGTACACAATTGTTTTAATATTTCATCTGTCAAATCCTAGTTTTTCAAAGTCCTAAGTTGACTGAGTGTGCATAAATGTACTTCGTAACGATTGTCTCCTATAAGACGTTATGTTAAAATGGTCAATTTCAGAATGACATTACAAAAAAACTATACGGTCAATATTGGTCAAATTGTAGGATTATTTATATACAATGTTTATCTACATCATATTAAAAAATTAAGTCTCTAAATTGGATTTCGACTAACGCTAGAACTTCCTTAATTTTTTGATTCCAAACACATGCGTATATTCATTATGAATGGAAATATTTATAATAACAAATAATATTTTCAATAAATAATAAATTAAGATTTCCTAATTAATTTATAGATTATTGTTATAATGTATTGATTAAAAATAACAATCTTGTGTGTGTGTATGTGATAATAATTGTAGGATATTATTATTATATTTGCCTCCTTTCTCTTTTAAGAAAAAGCTGCAATTCAGTTATACTTTTCGCAATTTGCATGCCTTGTGATGCCCTAATAGGAAAGGTGTGCCTAGATCCTAGACCATCTCATTGAGACCCGCGCAATGCAAACAGGTGTCCTAGCGACAGGAGGGCGGTTCTATCAGGATCGCATCTGTCGCGAGCAATTTCAAGTGTGGGGTAGAGCCGCGTAAGCGACCTGTCTGTCTCCATACATCCTTGATCCGGAAATATGCTTCACGTTTGAGGCAATTACGGGCATTAGCGTGGGTGGCGCTGCGGCTTTAATTGACTTGCAACCGTCTCGCTCTGGCGCTTTTGAACTTCCGAAATATAATTATACACGACGCTCACTTTATTTCGATACTAATTTTCTTCCCCATTATTGTGTAATAGTAGCGTCTGAGTATGCATTTGACATGCGATGTAAAACATATGTCGTATAATAAATTATTATCTTTATTAATTCTAAAATAAACATAGTTAAAATACAACATAATTGCATAAAATCTCGGTTTCTAATTATTTAAATTAAAAAAAAATTATTATTATTTTATTTTTAAATGAATATTGAACAAAGCCTTTTAGAAAAAAATATTTATTTATAAACGGATTTATACACGGAAAACTTAAGTATAAATAAATTATTTAATTAAAATTAAATTTAACATGTTTGTCATAAGGCTCAATATGTATTAAACAACTAAAAAATATAAAGAGATAAGGGCAATGAACCAATAATTTCGTTAAAATCTTTAAATTAATCTAATATATTGCGAAGAATATCACGTAATTATGACGTTTCGTCTCAGCTTCCATTACTGGACTCATCAGTAAAAGGCATTGTAGTAGAAGCCTGGCTTATACGCCTGAGAGAGTTATTCAGTTGAGATTCTATATTAAGAGATATACGCGTCTCTAAGCACTTGCGAGAATTTTTGCGAATATCTATAGACCTCTGATGGCGGGTCGATGTAGTAATATTCTTCACAATATTTATCTAAAGTAATATATGTATTCCCTTCCCACCCCCCAACTTGCGCGCCGAACAATCGTCGGTCTTGAAACGCAGCTCTATCTGAAAAGTCCCCCTAAAATTGCGCGCCAAAAATTGTTAAATTAAATTTAACATATTTTATGCCTGGTTTATGCTTCGGTCTGAAGGTCTTAATCCTAAAATTCAGCCAATAGAGTTCAAATTTCGGTTAGAACTGGCAGCTTTATTGGTTGAATTTTAGGATCTTGGGATTAAGACCTGAAGCATAAACCAGGCATTAGAATCTTCACATATAATAAAAGAATGGGCGTGAAAGATAGTTTTTGACTTTCACTTGAAGATTATAGCCGTGACTTGAACTTTGCTTGAAAAGCCTGACGCATTATTTACGTCACATTTATGTATCAGAGCTGGATTAAATAATACAACATTTTGAAACGTCATTTAGATTTTAACGTAATAAGACAAAAACATTATAACAGTCTTATAGCTACTCTTTCCCTTTATAGAAGTTTAATATTAATGTCCATATCACACTATAGCAATTAGAGATTGCGTCTGCGTTCGCATTTGCGTATCTTAACCGATTAAAAGGAAGCTGCTCACCAGCAGGTCTCGTCTAATTGGTCAAAAGATGCAATCGCAAACGCAGATGCAATATCCAATCGCTAGTATGATACGGACATAATACTGGCCAATATTGATCACTTATTTTTAGTGGGTACTGTTAAATAAAGATCCTGTTAACAATATTTTTAATACTTAAAATAAAATTAATTGGCCAATATAAGTATTAAATTTCTATGAAGTTTTAATCTATTTTTCAACAGAAAAATGCTACTTTTAGTCATACTACATTTAAGAGAGAGAGAAAGAGAGAGAGAGAG